AGGCTGCAGGCTGAGGCTGAGGCAGGCTGAGGCTGAGGCAGGCTGAGGCTGAGGCCGAGGCTGAAGGCAGACTGAGGCTGAGGCTGAAGCAGGCTGAGGCTGGCTGAGGCAGGCTGAGGCTGAGGCAGGCTGAGGCTGAGGCTGAGGCAGGCTGAGGCTGAGGCAGGCTGATGCTGAGGCTGAGGCTGAGGCAGGCTCAGGCTGAGGCAGGCTGAGGCTGAGGTCGAGGCTGCAGGCAGGCTGAGGCTGAGGCAGGCTGAGGCTGAGGCTGAGGCTGAAGCAGGCTGAGGCTGAGGCTGAGGCTGAGGCTGAGGCTGAGGCTGAGGCTGAGGCAGGCTGAGGCTGAGGCAGGCTGAAGCTGAAGCCGAGGCTGATGCAGGCTGAGGCTGAGGCAGGCTGAGGCTGAGACCGAGGCCGACGGCAGACTGAGTCTGAGGCTGAAGCAGGCTGAGGCTGAGGCAGAGGCAGGCTGAGGCTGAGGCTGAGGCAGGCTGATGCCGAGGCAGACTGAGGCTGAGGCTGAGGCTGATGCAGGGTGAGGCTGAGGCAGGCTGAGGCTGAGGCTGAGGCTGAAGGAAGACTGATGTTTTTTTTTGTTGAAATCCAAGCGCTGGCATTATTTATGGACCCCCTTCGCAAACAGAGCGTCTGGCAAGAGAGAGCGAGCAGAAAACAGCACTGCAAAGGGGACCCATTGTGCGGAGCTGAAAAACGCCCTGACCGACAAAGCAGCAGATATGCCATCGAAGAGAAACTTCGGCGACACCCTGTGCGCAACTGCCGATGGACATCACAGAACAGTCCTCCTTCTCATGCTCATCCCCAACCCTCCACGTCGTCCACAAGGATGGACCACTAGCTCGGAAAATGTCCTTGCTGGCGCAAAGGTCACTCAACCAAGAGGCAGCGTAGCTAGAACTTCGAGTCGCACTTGGCGGTGTGATCCTCATTTGAGGTATCCCCTCGTAGACGTGATGTGCGACAGGAGAAAGAGAGAGAGAAGCACATACGACTGCTCGAAAGGAATTCACTGCGCCCAGAGGCGATGCTCTAGCCCAAGAATCAATAAGAGTTGCAAGCGTGCAACATGTACGGCGGAACACTGCGCGCAAGTAAGGATGGTTATCCTGGAAAGAACTCCACATAACACCCATGGAGGACAAAGTCACAGAGACTGAGCAAAATGCATCATGGCATCAATCGTCTCTTCCAGGATGTAATGACCACCTTCCAAGCCCACGCATAAGAGTTCGCACGCATGGGGAGAGCCCCGCACAATCCTGGACTCAGCACGAACACCTGCTGCTTTCATCTTTTCGCAATACGCCAGGCCCTCGTCCCGCAGAGGATCGAGCTCGTTGACGCTGATAACATGGGGTGGCAATCCATCCAAATCTGCATCGATCGCCAACCCTGGCCATGCGAATGGATCATCCGCATGATTGAGCTCTGGGTCGTACATGCTCGCGAAAAGTGTCAAGCTGTTCGCGTCGAGTACGTAGTCGTCGCACTCCTGCAATGAAGTGTGCGCCTTCGCCCTCCAAACAGACGGCCCAGCAATGAAGGGACACAATGCGAACACACCATCAAGCTCAGCAACGCGCCCCTCTCGCTTGGCACGGAGAGCCGAGGCGATGCATAGGTTGCCTCCCCCGGACTCGCCAGACAGAACGAGCTTCGATATACCGAACTGGTGACGCCTGGCACTCAGCCATGCCAAAGCGCTCATGCAATCGTTCAGCCCAGCAGGGAAAGGATGGGGCCCCAACTTGCCAGAGGAATTGCGAAACTCAACGCTGGCAACCACAAAGCCACGGAGGGCCAGATGAATCCGCCATGCGCGGATATTTGCGTCGCTAGCGGAGAACATGCACATTCCTCCCCCATGCATGTGCAAGATGCCCGGAACCGCCTCGGACACCTTCGGCTTTGCCACGAACAGGGTGATAATGTTACCGTCGGCTCCAGAAATCACCTCCGTGAACTCGTCGATGGTGGATGCGTCAGGCATTGCAACTGTGACCAAGGCAGACGCCAGTCTTTCCATGAGTTTGTACCACATGTGCTTCAGGAACCGTCGTGATCCCTCCCAGACGGGCGCGGGGATTGGCTTACCAACAATGCCCCACTTGCCGAGCAGAAGATCTTTCTTGTAATGTTCCAGGATCGTTGTGTTCATCCGTGGGTCTGAAAGAAGCAACATGCTGGGAGTGCCAAGTTTCCCTGGCAATATGTGGCTGGAGCAAATGTCGCCAACTCCCTGCCCACAATCTCCCATGCCCTCTGATGTGCCATCCTGCTTGACAGAGAGTGGAAATGAACCACCGCCGCTGGACTCGAGACGAGCTTGACTGCTACTACCCAGCAGTGTGGGATTGCTTGATGATTCGGCTGTGGGCGACTTTCCCTGGAACATCTGAAGCAAGCCTCTGACAAAAGGAAGGATCATCTGTATGCCAGAGAAAAGCAAGCAGGGCGAAATGCCAAGTGGCAAAGCCTTGGAAAGGCCAGCACCTTGAGCCAAAATGGCTACGGACTGAAGGCAGACTGATGCTGAGGCTGAAGCAGGCTGAGGCTGAGGCTGAGGCATTCTGATGCTGAGGCAGGCTGAGGCTGAGGCTGAGGCAGGCTGAGGCTGAGGCTGTGACTGCGACTGCCGTTGTCACTGCGACTGTCATCGCGAATGCGACTACGATAGCGAGAACAGCAGAATTCTACAACTGAGTTCTCATCTGAATCGTAAGGGGAATGCTTCCAGATATGTTCCTACACATCGTTGTTAGGTTGCTTTGCCGGGATATGTTTCAGGGGCTGCACTAATGCACGTGGTAGGTAAGGAAGCTATACCCCCAAGGGGGCAAGATCAAAGACGACGAGGGCGGGTACCGAGGGTTTGAGATTTTCGTATTGATTGGCACGTGAGCAGATAGAAACGAACAGTCTTAACATGATTGCTGTTGTTGTTGTTGCTCATGTTGTTGTTGTTGTTAATGTTGTCGTTGTGTTGTTGTTGTGTTGTTGCCGTTGTCGTCCCACTCTCGACCTGGCCCGCGACCCGCCCGCGATCCACCCGCGACCCCACCCGCGACCCACTCGCGACCCACCCGCGATCCACCCGCGACCCACCCGCGATCCACCCGCGACCCACCCGCGACCCACGGGCGACCCACCCCGCGACCCACCCGCGAGCCGCCCGCGACCCACCCCGCGCCCGCCTCCTCACTCTTATCCGCAACTGCGGGGTGCTATAGTCAAACGGACGGGCGACGACGACACCCCGCTGATTGCTGCTTGCTGCTGCTGCTGCTGCTTGCTGCTGCTGCTCCTCCTCCTCCTCCTCCCCCTCCCACGCGAGGGAGCCTCCAGAGGTCGCCGGACGCCTCTGGGAGGCCCGAAGAGAGCACAAAACCAGCACGGGGAGAAAGATGGGAGGCCCCCCCTACCCTGTTCGACGCTGGCACAGGGAGGAGGCGGGGGCCAGGTAGCTTCGGAAGCCCCCCTCCCCCTCTTACGAGGAGGGGGGGTAGCTTGAGATGGGGGGCCCCGTTTGGTTCTTCGTGTCTCCTGCAGCGCGCTCTTCCAAAAAACATGGACTGGGAGTGGTGGTGACACCAGTCTTGGACAAGCGCGTTCCACTGCTCGCAAAGTAACTACTCGTAAATGGCCTGGATCCGCCGCGGTGGATTTCCGATCCATTCCATCAAAAAGAAGGCACATGTTGTTCGAACGTTTGCGAGTAGGCACTTTGCGAGTAGTGGAACGCGCCCAGGTAAGTCTGGTGGGCTTGGTGGCAAGCTCGGATATCGTCAACTAGCGTCAAACACACAAGCACACCGCACCCGCCAGAGCCACTGGTCTGTCAACGGGGCTGGCCCGAGATGCCTTTTTCAGCGACGGAGCCGCGGTCAAGACTCCAAGCACGCGGGTATGCCACATGTGTCGACCAGGGCAACCATTAGTACAGCATGGTCAACCACGCGTAGTCGTGCCACGGCTGAAAGTAGATATACAGCAGAGACCTGCGCGTGTGATCCATGCAAAGCGAAGATAGCACCGATTGTGGTGACTTCGGTAGGTAGGGCAATATTGGAAATGACTAAGCGAAACAGCAAGCACTTCTACACGCCGTGAGGCTGATGAACCCGCCCCAGCGATCCCAGCTTCCCAATTCAAACCTCGGCCTCTGCTTTGGTCTTCCTCGAAAGTCTATCTTAAAATGTGATACTATAAATTTCAATATGTCGGTCTCGCGCTCTCTCTCTCTCTCTTTTTCTCTCTCTCTCTCTCTCTCTTTATCTCTCTCTCTCTCTGTATATATAAATGTATGTATATGGATACGGTTACTCATGTGTTGTACCTCTCTGTCTCTCTCTCTCTCTCTCTCTTTATATAGATTTCACCCTTCGCCTCTCAAGCTGTCAATTCCCCCTGACGATCACAGAAATTCTGCAAATCCACGTACGTGCTCCTATTTCGTACTGTCTCGTTCGGCCTCTTCTTCTCGGCCTCTTCCAATCACCCTGGGCCTGTCAACCTGGCGGTGGATGACTGGCTCTCTTTCTCCCTCCCTCTCTCTCTCTCTCTCTTTCTCCATCCGCTTCTCTCTCTCTCTCCCTCTCCCTCTCCTCTTTATCTTTCTTTGTCTCCCCCCTCAACCCCCAACATGCTCAAGTCTGCGCGTCTGCCCCCTCCCCGCCCTCCCCAACTCTCTCTCTCTCTCTCTTTCTCACTCTCTCTCTCTCTCTCTCAGGCTCCCTCGGGCTCCCTCGGGCTCCTTCTCTCTCTCTCTGCCTCTTCCTCCATCTTCGTGCCCGTAGTCCTCTTCACCTCTCTCTCTCTCTCTCTCTCTCTCCCCCTGCCGCCGCCGCCGCCGCCGTCGGCGGCGGCGGCGGCTCGGGGCGCGCCCCCCACCGCGTCGTCAAGAAGCACGACGGGCGGAGGAGGAGGAAGGAGGAGGGAGGAGGAGGAGGAGGAGGAGGAGGAATGAGGAGGAGGAGAGTGGAGGAGGAGGAGGAGGAGGAGGAGCAGGAGGAGAAGGAGGAGGGGCCGCCAGCCCGGCACGGGCGCCGCCTCACCGGCCCCGGGACTCACCGCCCTGCCGCAGGATCTGCAGCTCCTGCGGCGGGCCGCCGCCGGGGCCGCCGAGGGGCGGCGGCGAACCTGGGAGGCCTGGAAATGGGCACCAACACCAAGACAGAGGGCTGCCTCCACAGGGGGGAGGTGATCCTAGATTTCAGTGTTGGTGGTAATATTTCGGCCACCTTGGAAGCCAGAATATTACCACCATCACCGAGATCGGACGCCGATCTTGGTGTTGGTGTCAACCTCTAGGCCTGCGAGAACCACCGAGCGCTGCGAACGGGGCGTCGGGAAGCGGGCCAGCAGCTTTCGGTCGGGCGTGTTCCCCTACGGGCGGATTTAGGACGAGAAATTAATAGGGGGCAAACAAACCTACCTCGCTTTTGACCACCCTCGCTTCCAAGAGATACTAAGCGATGCCAAACTCCGGCCTGTACAGGTCAAGCCGCTTGATGAGGAGGCGCGTGGTATGAGTTGGTTTTGCCTGGAAGCGAAAGCGGGGTAGGTAATTCACGCTCTGAATTAAAAATAGTCAGACAAATATCCAGAAATAATCAAACATGGTCAAAAAAATCTTCCCCTGACTATGTTTGACTATGTTTGAAGATTCCTCCTGTAGAGGGACAGGCCCGGCCTAACAGTAGCAAAGGGTGCGTTTTCAAGTGTGTGTCTTCAAAGGCCTGATTTACCGCACACAAGTTCGAGGTAAACCTCCCCCGCCCAGAGTTCTGACGATGCATCATCCATCGACGTCTTGGCCGTCCAGATCTATGACGCACTAGTGCGAGGTAGATGCCCAGTCGCCCCGTGCTCGCCGAAACAGGCCCCTCAGCTACCGCCCCGTTCACTAACGCCCCGTTTGCAAGGGCTTCGGCGAAGGGCAGACGTCTTCCATCTCTGATCCTGCGCCCCCCTTCTGCGTTGGGCGGGCTACGGCAACGGGGCTGTAGCGTCTAAATGCAATTCCGACTTAGGCAAAGTGCCACACAGTGACAAAAGGAGGCTCGTGCGGAACAAGACATGCAGGAAAAGTACAGGAACGACAGGGAAGCCCAGATGGACGTGAAGCGACGTTGCCGACTGCCGTTTGGGATGGGGGGAACAACACTAACGATCATCGCATGGCATTTCTGACGAATGAAAACATGCAGGAGGAACCGATATTTATTCATGTATATTTATGTATACATATGTATGTACAGATGTGTGTGTACGCGTGCAAACAAGGCTGACCTTCTTGCAAATCAGTTAGCTAAATTTACGGTTGGTGGTGAGACCACTAGGGTAAGCTGGGCAGCGGCACCGAGCTGAAGCTGACACAATCTTATACTCCCCCCAAATGCCCCCCCTTTCCCTGTATATGCAACCGCTGATCAAATGGCAACGCGGACTCAAATTGTTAAATGCTGGGCTTGAATCGCAAAACTGCCATGGCTGGAGGAAACTTGCCGTGATATGTGAAAATCATCGGCTCTGGCTGGCACAGGCTGCGCTGTCTGGCGCGCCGGCGTTGTGTAAGAGGGACGGTACTAGCAGGAAGCTCGAGAATGCGCGGCGATGCGTGAGGTGAGGCAGGGGCAGCTAAGGCACGGCGGCCCACAGTTGGACTGACGCCCATCCGCCGAAAGCTAATATGGCCATGAACTGTCATCGATACTCCCGCCCATGCAAAGACCCACAATTCAACTGTCTGTTAGGTTTGCGCGGAGTGCCCAATTGGAAGACAAGAGTCCAAGGTTGTCGAGCGTGCCAGAGCACCATTCCTCGGACTTCAACGCCGTCAATCAACGTGACTGCTGCGTCCCGGCAATCGTAAATCACGCCAGAACATTATTCCTGAGCCTTGAGCCATACGATTCTTTGAAACAGCTGCAATGATTCAAAACGAATGTGCGCAGCGCTACGACAAGAGCAATATTATGAAAAATAACCACCCTCCAAAACTGCTGCACTCTTGAAAACGAATGTGCGCGGCGCTCTAGCATGAAACACATGTTGAAAAGGACCCGCCCTCCATCCGAGAAGCTGTTGCAAGCGTGTAACTCCGCGGCACGAAGAGAGAACAACATCTTGAAAACGATCCGCCCCCCCAATCCGTGAGACTGCTGCAGTTTTGCAACACGAATGTTCGCGGCGCTAAAAGCGAGAGCCACGTGTAACACGTGGCTCGGGCGGGTCGTCTTCAACACGTGACGTGTTGAAGACGACCCGCCCTCCATCTGGCGAGAGCCACATTCTGAACACCACCCGCCCTCCGTCATTCAGTCTGCTGTGACTCTCAGGCTGCAGGCTCAAACCTTGTGAGGAAATCTCTGACGAAACGCCCGGCCCGCCCAGCTGGCACGCCAAGGGGCACGACATCTACAACGGGAAAAGATGGAGGCCTCCGAGGTGCTGGGAGACCCGTGCACGGAGGTCCCTGGAGGTCTCCAGGGGCGCAGACAGGAGCCAGAGACGTCAAGCAACTTAATACTTAATGCGAAGAGGGGAGGAGGAGGGTGAGGAGGAGCAGGATGGCGAGGAGGAGGAGGATGAGGAGGAAGAAGAGGCAGAGGAGCAGGAGCAGGAGCAGGAGGGGCAGGAGAAGGTTAGGGTATCGAGGCGGGATTTGACTCGCCCCTCGTCTTCAAAACTCCTAAGAGGAGGCAAGAGCAGGCACCTGTTAGGGAACCGAGCTCTATACACCGCCGCTTTCTCCTGCCGTGCACTGAAACTTGCCCAAGAACGCGGGTCCTGGCGTTCACGGGATCCTGGTGTATACACGTTTCGTTGTTCCCCCGAGAAAATGAGGAAACAAGTATACACCACACCACCCCGACGTCGTCCCCGCCCCTCAAAAAGTCCTGGGACTGTAAGACGGCCCGCCACTGGCAATGTATCTGCTACAGCTTCCGACCTGTTGCCTCCCTGCCCTCTCGAAGCCCGAGCAGGGGCGGCGGAAGAACGCTGGCCGGGCCCAGCGGCTCCTCCGCCATGGTGTCTCCCAGCTGCGCCCGCCTGCGGGAAAGACGAGGCGAGCGGTGTCGGAGCGCCCACAGGCAGGCTCACGTCGCAGTAACGTGGGCGTCGGTTTTCTGACACCACGTTTAACTCGGGCGTGTCCCCTTACAGGGGGATTTTGGACGAAATATAAAAAATGATCAAAACATGCCCGAATTAGTCAAACCTGATATTCAACAAATCATCCCCAAACTATCGTTTGACTATTTTTGAATATTCCTCCTGTAGAGGGACAGGCCCGACTTAACACCACGTGCACCGTGCCACCTTCAAAACCGTGCCTACCTGGATCCGAAAGACCAGGTCGTTCGAAGTCGGCCAATGCCTGGCCATGGGCGGTGTTCAGCCTGGAATGCCCTGGGCTGGCCGCCGCCACGCCAACGCGGCGCGAACTTGCTGCATGGACATATCCTTTGGAATTGTTTCGTGCGGGGCTTGGCGTCGTCGTCGTCGTCGTTGTGGAAATCGTCGTGCGTGTTCGGAGGTTCTCGTCGCCTCAGCTGGACGCGACTCGAACAACTGGCCTGGATGGCCTGGGGAGTTTGGGCCAGGCAGCGACGCGAGGGGGCCTGCCTGACAGCCCTTCTCGCCTTCGCCAATGTGTGTGTGCGTGTCATGCGTGCACGCGCTTCAATGTTTGGCTTACTGGGGGTCTTGTCCGTCGATGCTGCTGGGCGTCCCCTGTAATGGAAACTCGGTTCGAAATAATTACTGCAACGCAGAAGTGTGCAACGCAAGAGCCAACGTGTGGCAACATGGCACCTCTGCGCTAGCGTTGCGCTTGCTTCCCATACCAGCAAGTCTGTGGTGGAATATTGGACATGTCCGCATCTCATACGTCAAGCGAAACCACTCCACAACTGACACTGGTCGCGTCATGCTCATTCGATGCAGATGTATGAGCATGTTCCAGAAGGCTTCCAGAACACCACTGGGGACGACTGGGGCGAACTAGAAGCAACATCACAAATTGACGGTACAATACGCGGAGTTCAACAGCTGACATAATTGACACAGTGCGGACACACACATACACATACACACACACACACACTCCAGGCAGACCCTGCGCGCACGACGAGCCTTGATCGGCAAACCCTCGGCCGAAGCTCACCTGTCTGGGGTATCCTCCTGCCCACTTGGCTCCTTGGGCCGCGCCCGACCCCGATCGGTGGAGACAAGGGCCATCAAGAACAACCAAATATGCAACGGCGCCATGGCAAACGCGGGGCGCAGGTGAGGGGGCCGAGACTCCCCCCCTTTCCACCCCGACGTCACGCGCAGCATCCGGCGCGCGCGAGCGAGCCACCTGCGCCACGAGCCGCAGTCTCAAGCGCACGCGCCCTCTACTCCTGCTCCTCCCATCCTCCTCCTCCTTCTTCCTGCTCCTCCTCCTCCTCCTCCTCCTCCTCCTCCTCCTCCTCCTCCTCCTCCTCCTCCTCCTCCCCCTCCTCCTCCTCCTCCTCCTCCTCCTCCTCCTCCTCCTCCTCCTCCTCCTCGAAGCCCTCAGCATCGCGATCTGTCTCTCCCTGGTGAGCAGAGCCGCCGGCCGCGCGCGGGGCGAGGCGCCGCCTCGCGGCAGACCCGGGCGCCTCTCCCCGGGCGCCGCGGCCCCCGTGCCGCTCGCCCCGGTCCGGCGGCGCGGCGTCCGCGGGGCCGCCGCGGCGCTCCTGGCCGGACTCTCCGGGGGGGCTCTGGCGCAGGCCCCGGCGAGTGGTAGGCGCAGGCTCGGATCGGGGAGGAGGAGGAGGAGGAGGAGGAGGAGGAGGAGGAGGAGAGGGGAGGAAGAGGAAGAGGAGGAGGAGGAGGAGAAGGAGGAATGGGAGGAAGAGGAGGAGAGGAGGAGGAGGAGGAGGAAGGAGGAGGAGGAGGAGGAGGAGGAAGAGGAGGAGGGAGGAAAGGAAGAGGAGGAGCAGAAGGAGGAGGAGGAGGGGAGGAGGAGGAGAGGAGGATGAGGATGAGGATGAGGATGATGATGATGAGGAGGAGGCGGAGGAGGAGGAGGAGGAGGAGGAGGAGGAGCAGAAGGAATAATAGGAGGAGGAGGAGGAGGAAGGGAGGAGGAGGAGGAGGAGGAGGAGGAGGACGAGGAGGAGGGGGGGGAGGAAGAGGAGGAGGAGGAGGGAGGAGGAGGAGGAGGAGGAGGAGGAATTTGAGGATGAAGAGGAGGAGGAGGAGGTGGAGGAGGGGAGGAGATGGAGGAGGAGGAGGATGAGGATGAGGAGGAGGAGGACATGGAGGAGGATAAGGAGGAGGAGGAGGCGCAGGAGGGAGGAGGAGGATGAGGAGGAGGAGAAGGAGGAGGAGGAGGCGGAAGGAGATGCAGGAGAAGGAAATGAGGAGAAATGGAGAAAGATGAGGTGGAGGGGGGAGAATGAGGAGAAGGGAGGAACAGGAGGAGGAGGAGCAGAAGGAGGATGAGGATGAGGGTGAGGATGAGGATGAGGATGAGGATGATGATGGATGATGATGATGATGATGATGATGAGGAGGAGGAGGAGGAGGAGGAGGAGGAGGAGGAGGAGGAGGAGGAATGGGAGCAGGAGGAGGAGGACGAGGAGCAGGAGGAGGAAGAGGAGGAATGGGAGGAGGAGGAGGAGGAGGAGGAGGAGGAGGAGGAGGAGGAGGAGGAGGCGGAGGGGGAGGAGAGGAAGAGGAGGAGGAGCAGCAGGAGGAGAGGGAAGGAGAGCGAAGGAGGAGGAGGGGCGAGCAAAAGGAGGAGAATGAGGAGGCTGGGCCTCGGCCAGCATCTGCGAGATCTCCGTCTCCTCGGCGCCGAACTCGCTCTGGACCTCCTGGAGAACCTCGAAGGCGCGCCTGGGCTCCTGGCGTTCGTGCTCTTCGCGGTCCAGCTCGCCCCGCATCACCTGGAACTTCGGCTTGGCGTCGGCACCTCTATCGGCTGAGACTGTCCCGCCGACGCCTTCGGCGCGAGCCATGACCACTGTCACAGCACGCTTGGCACGCTCAGCTTCTGCAAGCACCCGCGCTGCAACTTTCTCCTAGAAGAGGGGGTGATAGAATATGGGAGATCTCACGGTCCCCGCCATGATGCCCACATGCACGCACACGCACGCACGCACGCACGCACGCACGCACGCACGCACGCACACACACACACACACACACTTTGCGCCGGCGGCTAGGCAGAATGACTGCGCTGGCGGAAGAGGCATAACATGGCAAACGGCACTCGAATTGGGCCAGCATGCAAGGGGAGGAGGAGGAGGCGACCGGCGACGGCAGGGAGGAGGGGGGGAAGCCAGGCCCACTCACAGCAAGGCGCGGCAGGGTTGGCACCGGGGGTGGGCGGGGGCCAGCGGCGGCGGGGCACCAGCTGGCAGGAGAGCCGGGGTCCGATTGGAGCGCCACCTTGAGCACGGGATTGGCGGTCTGCTGCTCGAGCCTCTTGACCAAATTTTGATCGGACAACGACTTGGCGGCCGCGGGCCCGTCAGACTGCACGACCTGCTGGTCCTTGCCGCCCTTGCCACCCTTGCCCATGCCCTTGGGCACATGAAGCTTAACCTTCTTGGAACAATGAAAGCACTTGCAATGGTTGGTGAGTAGACAATCGTTCCACTCGTGCTGCCCGCGCAGGCCGTGCAGGTCGACACAAGACGAGTGGGCGCCATCTTCTCAATGGTATCTTCCCGCCTGTTTGAGTCAACGCTTGCAGCAAAGACTGGGGCGATCGTTTTCGGCGCCCTGGCGCAGAGCTGGCGCCTCGACCCGCTGGCGGTGACAGTGCTCGCGCCGCTGTGGCAGGCTGCCAAGGCCCTCCGACGCCGGCGTCTCCCTGGCGATCTCTGGAGGGAGGCTGCGGGCGCCATGGCTGCCGGGCACGGCCGGCGCTTCGGCCCGATCGCCGCCGCGATCCGCAGCATGGCTGAGCTGCACCTGGGCGCGGATGTCGAAGCCTGGATGGGCACCCCCGCCGCCCCAGACGGCTGGCGCCCAGCAGCCCGCGCCCTTCCTGATACGCGCGCGGTGTTGTTGGAAGCCTGGGGGCGGCGAGAGGCCCCCGAGGTCGCCCAGCGCCGGGCCGATTTCCAAAGTCTGGCGGGGGGGATCGACCGCTGGGCGACGCGCCAGCTCCTGGAGTCCGGGAAGCTGGCACCTGACGCCGCCGCCGCGCTACGGACGGTGATCTCCAGCAATGTGATCACGGAGTCCGTGGCGGCAAAATGGGGGCGGCTGTCATCATGCCCTCATTGCGGCGCCGTGGTGGAGGACCTCGAGCACCGACTGTGGCTCTGCCCGCGGTGGGAGACCACCCGCGCCGCGGCGTTGACGCGCATTGGCTTCACCCTGGCTGCCGCCCGCGCCTGCCTGCCAACCGAGGTCGCGCGCACCGCGGTGCTCTCTCTGGACGCCCACTTGGAGGCCCTGGCGAGCGACGCCCAGCAGGCGCTCCAGCTGCCGCCACTGCCAGACCCCGCCACGCCAGAGCTGCCGCAGGGGAGGGTCCGCGATTGGACTGGCGGTTCTTGCCTGCACCCAGCCGACCCGCTGCTCGCTCGAGCGGGCTGGGGCGCGCGCCTCGAAGGCCTCCCCGTCGGGCGCCTCGACAGCCACGGCCCTGTGGACGGCCGCCAGACGGCGCAGCGCGCGGAGCTTTGGGCTGCCACGCACGCGTGCAGCCTGGCCGGGCCGCCAGTGGACGTCGTCACCGACTCGCGATTCGTCGCGCGTGGGGTGGTCGCGCTGCGCGGCGGCGCGGACCCGATGAATTGGCAACATGCTCATTTGTGGGAGGCGATCGCGCCGCTCTGCCGCTCCGGGCTGCTGCGGGCTCGCTGGGCGAAAGCTCACTTAACCCGGGCGGAGGCTGCCGAGCGGGGCATCTCGGCGGAGGACTGGGCCCGGAACGACGCGGCGAACACTTTGGCTGGCGCTGGTGCAAAGGCCCAGCTCCCACCGCTGGCGTTCCTCCAGCAGCGCACGCGGCAGTTGGAGGCGCTCGCGGCGGTCCAGCGCGCGGCGGCCGCCGTGGAGCCGGCAGCCCTGAAGGCCAACCACGGCCGCGCCAGCCCAGCTGGGCCCCGAGTCCGGCGCCGCTGGGTGGCGCCAGGCCACCGGCGCAGACGGGCGCCGCGAGAGGGGGATGCGGCAGCAATCGCCGCCGCCGCAGCGCCGCGCCCCCCGAGCGCCCCGAGCACCCCCGAGCACCCCCGCCCTGGGCAGGCGGCCGCGGCGAGAGCGTTGTTTGAAGGCGTCGCCTGGCAACCGCATGCGGCGGTGCAGGGCCCGGCGTGGGTCGCTTGCCTGAAGTGCGGGTGCTGGGCGCCGTGCTGGCGGCGGCTCGCGAGCAGGGCCTGCAGCGGCTGGGCTCCCGCGTTGCCGCCGCGGGCCGCTATGCTGACCCTGCTGCCTGCGGAGCCCGCTGGCGGCGGCCGCGACGCCGACTGGCGCGCGGCCCTGCGGGCTCGTCTGCAAGAGCGGCCGGGCGAGCCCCTGACTCATTGGGTGGGCGCGCGCTGGGGCCGCCCCGAGGGCGGCGGCGCGGCCGCTGTTGTTCCCCTTCTGCCTTCCGCCCCTCCTCCCCTTCTCTTTGTCCCCGCCTTGCCACTGGGCTCCTGCACGCTGGTAAAAAAAGGTGCTCCCCCAGGTACCGCGCGGAGGCACAGGGCGGTGGGATCTGCCAAAATGAACTTGAGCCCAAGTTGCTTGAGAGTGGCGGTGGGGAGGGGAGAGGAAGCAGGCAGGGAGGGAGGGAGGGAGGGAGGGATGGGGGCGCAGGGAGACGAGGTGAGTGAGCGGGCGAGACCCGTCTCGAAGCGACACCGAGTGAGCTGGCCCGACTTCAAACCCCGGGCAGCTGCCCTCCTAGAGGCCTCCCAGCTGGGGTCGGAGTCGATGGGGTCGGAGGACCGCGCCGCATCGGCGAGGCATCGGCGAATGCATCGGCGAATGCATCGGCGATGCCCCAGCGATGCATCGTCGACGTCGGCGATGCATCGTCGACGTCGGCTGGTGCGGAGAAACTCGGGCTCCGCATCGAGCCGCATCGCCGATGCATCGGTTGGAAGCCTGGAATGGGCACCAACACCGAAACCATGGGTTACCTCCACGGGAAAAAGATGATTCTAGATTTTGGCGTTTGTGGTAATATTTCGGCAACCTAGGAAGCCCGAATTTTACCACCATCACCGAGATCGGGATCATCTTCCCTCGGTGGAGGCACACGGCCGATCTTGGTGTTGGTGTCAACCTCTAGGCCTCCGAATCGGCGATGCGGCGCGCTCTTCCGACCCCCTCAACTCCGAAGCCCCATCCAGGAGGCCTGGAGGTGGGAACTCCGACGAGCGAGCTGGGACCCGACTCCGAACCTTGGGTCGCTGCCCTCCAGAGATCCCGACAGCAGGGGAACGAAGAATGCATGAAGCATAAAGACTCGGAGGGGTCTGGGTGCATCTCTCGCGTCGGCGCTGGAGCGCCCCATACGGGCGGCACAAGAGGCGCCGCCGGGGGGCTCTTGCGCCGATCCCCGGCGGAGGGAGGAGGAGGAGGAGGAGGAGGAGGAGGAGGAGGAGGAGGAGGAGGAGGAGGAGGAGGAGGAGGAGGAGGAGGAGGGAGAAGGAGGAGAGGAGGAGGAGGAGGAGGAGGAGGAGGAGGAGGAGGGGGCGGAGGAGGAGGAGGAGAGCGCCGGCGGGGGCGGCACGCAGACTCCTCGCCGCCGCCGTCGCCCTTGTCCAGGTCCTTCCGGAGGGCCACGCTCTCGGCAAGGCCCGCGCCTCGCTGGCCCCGAGGCCGGCGGCCCCGGGCGAGCAGGCCACCGCCGCCGACGCCACCGGGCGCGCCCGCCTCCCGCCGCCTCTCGCGCTCCTCGTCGTCCTCCTGCCTCGCCTGTCCTCCTGGCGCCTCCTCGTCCTCCTCCTCCTGCTCCTGCTCCTCCTCCTCCTTCCCCTCCTCCTCCTGCTCCTGCTCCTGCTGCTCCTCCACCTCCTCCTCCTCCTCCTCCGCCTCCTCCTCCCTCCCCTCCTCCTTCCTCCTCCTCCGCCTCCTCCACCTCCTCCTCCTGCTCCTCCTCCTCCTCCTCCTTCTTACCCTCCACCTCCTCATCGTCCTCCTCCCGCCCTCTCTCCTCTCATTCCCTCATCCCTCCCCCGCCTCCTCTTCTCTCCCCTCGTCGTCGTCCCCCTCCTGCTCCCTGTCGCAGTCCGAGGCCGTCCGTAAGGGTGGGCCGGGTGTTTCGCTCGAGGCCGTTCGTAAAGGTGGGCCTTCCCGTTGATGATCCTGAAGCATAAAAATTGAAGCATAAAAATTGGCAACAGCTTCTCAAATGGAGGGCGGGTGGTTTTCAAAATGCGGCTCTCGCCTCTGTCGCCGCGCACACTCGTCTCAAAAACGTGCCAGGGATTCACGGATGGAGGGCCAGTCGTTTTCGAAATGTGGCTCTCGCCTGAGCGCCACGACATGTGCTAGAGTTTCACGGATTGAGAGCGGGTCGTCTGAAAAGTGTGGTTCTCGCATTGGCGTCGAGCACGTTGTCTGAACAAGTTGCAAGAGCTGCGCGGCTTAGGAGCGGGTCGTTTTCAAAATGTGGCTCTCGCCATGTTGCCGCGCACATGGCAAGAGCTTCACGGATGGAGAGCGGGCCGTCTTCAAAATGCGGCCCTCGCCTGAATCAGCGCCGCGCACACTCGTCTTAAATCTTTGCACGAGTTTCGCGGCTTCTCGTGGTTAACGTCCCAGACATGGCGTTCTGGAAATACTCAGAACTGCTAGGGCGCAACAATGACGTTTTTTTGTCGCGGCGTTGGAGTCCCAACACTGATTTCTGGGACGACGAAGGGTCGCCAAGACGCCACAACCAAGTTATTCGTGGAGAAGAGTCACGAGAATGGTTTTGTTGACACGCTTCGGGATCTTCAAACGGTTGTCTTCCAACGGGGCACTTCCCTCAGTAGAAATAATCAGTGTATGGGCCTACACAGGGGGAACTTGGAGAGAGCGTTTGTCTCACCATCGTTGACTGATCTTGGATTTACACTGGTCCTCCTCCTCCGCAGCCTCCTCCTGTTCGCCAAGCGAGCGTGGGTTCCCCTTACTCCTCCGCCTTTCCTCCCCCTGCTGCTCCTCCTCCCCCTCCTCGTCCTCCCATCCCGCCCACGCAAGGGGCTCCCCAATTCGTTGAACCCATTTGCAATGGGTAATTCTAAAGAGCTCTCGCCGCACCGGTCTCAAGAACGTGCAAAACGGCAGGAGGAGGAGGTGGTGGAGGAGGAGGAGGAGGACGAGGAGTAGGAGGAGGAGGAGGCACAGCGTTCGATTTTTTATTTTAGTTTTTTAGGAGGAGGAGGAGGAGGAGGAGGAGGACGAGGAGTAGGAGGAGGAGGAGGAGGAGGAGGAGGAGGAGGAGGAGGAGCAAGATGCCCAAAAGAGGGGCCCACGAAGTCCCCCAAAAAGGCCCCTCAAAGCGTGCTGCCCGCGCCACTGAAAGCCGACCCCATCCAACACGAGATCAAAACCTACAAGAGGGCCCCAAGACGCTCTGAGACGCCTGAGAGTGCGCAGTCGGGACGTTGACCTAAGGAACGATACATAAGGAACGAAACCCCGTGTTGCCACAAGCCAAACTTCGACTTCCCATCGAAACTGAAGGAACACCTGAGGCAAGCTGTGAATCAGGAAAGGAACAAGGAGCCCCTCCCCAACGAAAAGGGTTCCTTCTTCAGCGCCCCGGCTGTACCACAAAAGCCTCAAGGACCCCCCCAAGAAGCCCCTCCAAGAGCCCCCCAAAATGAAGGGCATCTGGGAGCACGACCCAAGTACTGCGGCAGGACGGGCCCAGGGCCACGTGACTTCTCACCCTCGCGTTCCATCTGCCATTGACCCCGTCGTCGTCCCCGTTCCCCCTCTTGCGCCCAAGCTCTTCTCTTCTCAGGGTCGGCAGAACTTGCCGCAAGGCCTCTGCATTCAATACGCACGTTCCTCCAATTAGGTTTTGCATAAGTGGTTCTCGCATGCTTGTGACAGAAACCAGCTGGTGTCGGAGCCTTCGCCCCTGGTTCTCCTCATGGTTCCTTGGCGCTGCTCGGCAATAGCGCACCCCGGCATTGCTCGGGCAGCTGCCAGTTCTCCTGCGTGAACTCAGAAACGAAGCTACTGAGGAGAACAGTTACCGTGTTGGGAGGAAGGGGTTCAGAGGACGAAGGGTATGAGCAATAGCATATGGATGCAATGCACGATATGTTCGGCCGCCGACGGGCAATGATATCCTCCCGACGACTGTCGCAGGATCACACTGTTTATATGTTGCTCTCTACTGCACCATCTCCTTTGACGACAAAGCACAACAACTGAGGGGAACTCAAAGATCTGGACTCCACAAGGCCGGTGCCCCACTCGACTCCGCGCCGCTGCTGGGCGGCCCGGGATCGGACACCTTGCTTCGAAAACTGGAAGCCGAAGCAAGCACTCAGCGGGATTTTGTTACGCCAGACCCTGGGGCGAACATCCCAGCAATACGATGTCCTGCTCTTTCAACACGGGCCCCCAGGGCCCCAGAAGCCCCGACCCTTTCCCGGGACCGCTTTCCATCCAGAGTATTTGTCTGACGGTCCCAGGGCCCAGTGAGAGCCCCCAGAAGCCCAAAACGACCAAAAACCTCCCGTCCTGATGTTCTCGTGACGCGAGCATGTCTGGGATATTGCCACACATGCGGCCGAGGCGAGTTCGCGCCAGACCATGGGGCTGACATGCTGGCTCTGGAAGCCCCGAACCCGAAACGGCTGCCATCTCCTGGGGGTGCGCGCTTTTACTTCCGCCGGCGTGCCGCCGAGGAAGAGGCGGCAACCCCTTCGATACCTCGAAGACGAAGCCCTTTCTGGAATGCCTCGCGTTAGAAATAGAAAAACACTTCAAGAACATAAAACGTTTAGGGGGAGAACAAACCTACCTCGCTTTTGACCACCCTCGCTTCCAAGAGATACCAAACGACGCCAAATTGCAGCCTGTACTGGTCAGGCCGCTTGACGAGGAGGCGCGTGGTATGGCTCGGTTTTGCCTGGAAGCGAAAGCGGGGTAGGTAATTCACGCTCTGATCGTTGGCGTTCCGCGCGGATTTTTGGGATCTGCGCTGGACCCCCCCGCCCTGGCGCGGAGCGCGCGAGGCCCAGCGCCGGAGGCGCCGCCAGGGGGGGGCCCGGCGCAGCTTCCAGAGATCCGCACGTCCGGAAGTGGCGTGCTGCCGGAGGCAGGCCCGCGGATGCCGCACAGTCGAGGCGTTGACCTCAGGAGCCCTGAATAAGGAACGAGGCCCCTGCTTCCCATCAGTTCAACCTCGATGTCCCGTGGAAAACCTCAGGAAAATCCGAGGCAAACTCTGGAACGATCAAGGAACGCCGGGCCCCTCCCCACCGAAAAGGGTTCCTTCTTCAGCGCCCCGACTGTAATGCAGTGGGCGCCCTAATGCAACGCAACCTATGTATCCAATCTACACACACTGTTTTTATCTGTAGCACTGCTGTGCAATCTGATGCATTCCCCCTAACCCCGCCCCAGCGCTACGCCGCGTCCGTCGACCCAGGGTGGAGACCCTCCTCCCGTGGCTCAAAAAAAAACATGGAGAATCAATGATGTGGCCCCGTGGCCCTCTTGGGGGCCAACACGGCCTCAAGACGGCTCCAGATGGCCCCGCGACGACCCAAGACGGCCCCAAGGCGGCCCAAACTGGCCCCACGAGGGCCCAAAAAGCTCCCAAGACGCCCCAAGAGGGCCCCAAGAGGACTCTCGAGAGCGCCTCCAGAAGCCAAAATCATCGATTCCCCGCCGGTTTCTGAAGGATTTTGACGATCTCGCCTACTTCGACGACTCTCAGAGGTCCAGGACGGCCGAAGCAGCCTCCGAAACGGCCCCAAGACGGCCCTAGAAGGCCTCCAGAAGGCCCCAAATCGGCCCAAGAGGGCCAAGACGGCCCCAAGAGGCCCCCAAGACGCCCCAAGAGGCCCCCAAGACGGCCCAAGAGGATCCCAAGAGAGCCCCAACGCGGCATCTGCAGGCCCCCCGGGCGGCCACCGACGGGACCAGACAGCGCAAGAACGCACCACGACGGCCCAAGACGCCCACACGGAGCTCCGAGAGGCCCCCAAGAGGCCTCCCAGAGGCCCCCCAGAAGCTCCCAAGAGGTCCCCAAGAAACCTGAATCGCCCCGGGACGCTCCAAGACGACCCCCAGGAGGCCCCCCCAAAAGGACCCCAGGAGTCCCCCTGGAGGGGCCCAGGGGGCCTCCAAACGACTGGATTGCAAGTGTTCCGAACTACTCCAAACAGGCCAAAGGGGCCCCCAAGAGGCCCCAGAGGCGCCAGATGACTTCCACGATGCTCGCAACAGGCACTCTGGACGACGCCGAAACCGCCGAACGGCGAGCGAAACCCACGCGGCGGCAGACGAGCAGGTCAAATCATCTCACACGGACACACTGCGCCAAATGTATTTTTTCCAGCGGCCGCAAACGACAGGCCACTCTGATACGGACTAAAACTTCCAGCAGACCGGGCACACCAAGCCTGCGCTGCCGCGGTTGGACGACCCAAAACTGCCCGAATCGCCCCCGAGAGGCCTGAAAGAAACCCCCAAGAGGCCTCAAGAAGCTCACAAGGGGCCCCCAAGAGGCCCCATAGAAACTTCTACCAAACCCCACAGCGTCTGGACTGCACGTGCTCCGGACGTGCACCCCGCGAAGCGAGGGGAATCCGCGCGGAACGCCAACAGTTCATGTTCATGCCGTTTTTTCTCATTCGATCCCACGCATCAAACCTTTCGGGGGGACACAAAGGTGGGGTGGGGGCAAAGGTGGGGAAGGAGAACCGCTCTTAACGGCCCCTGCAATAAGGAAACGCGCTAAACAGGAGCATCAAGCTGGGCCCGTGCCCCAGCCCCACCTTGGGATAACCTTAGGTCGGGCATGTCCCCCTGCAGGCGGACTTTGGAGGATAATTTATATCCGCCGATCCAGCGTGCGAGCTACAAGGAGCCTCAGCAAGAGCTTCAGCTCTGAGACTAAGCAAGAGTTTCAGCTCTGCTTGGGGGGGGTCGCCGGGGTGGCTCTGCCGGGGAAGGGGGGTGGGGGAGGGGGGGGCAGTCCCCCATCTGGCGTTTTCTTTATGATTTGCGCGTCTGGCCCCCCCCCCCGGGGAAGGGGAGGAGGGGGCGGGGGGGCGGTCCCCCATCTGGCGTTTCTTAATGATTGACACATCCCCAAGAGTTTCGGTGTCCCTAGGGACCCCCTCAGATCCGCCCCCAAGACCCTCCCCTCAGAACGCTCCCTGGACCCCCGGGACCGCTCCAGGAACCCCGCCAGAAGAAAAGAAAGAGGACCGGAATAATCGAGGAGGGAAGAGGCCACAGAGACGCGAAGACTACCGAATCCGGAGCCCCCAGGATCGGCGGCACTGGCCGGAGGCCATTCCAATCTGTCTATGTTTTGTTCTCAGCTTTTCTTTCGGCAAAAAACAATTATCCCGGCAAAGCAACCTAACAGCGATGTGTAGAAGCATATCTGAAAGCATTCCCCTTAAGATTCAGATGAAAATCCAGTTGTCGAATTCTGCTGTTCTCGCAGTCGTAGTCGCATTCGCGATGACAGTCGCAGCGGCAACGGCAGTCGCAGTCACAGCCTCAGCCTCAGCCTGCCTCCTCCTCCTCCCCCTCCTCCTCCTCCTTCTCCTCCTCCTCCTCCTCTTTCTCCTGCCTCCTCCTCCTCCTCCTCCTCCTCCTCCTCTTCCTCCTGCTCGTCCTCGTTCTCGTCCTCCTCGTCTTGCTCGTCCTCCTCCTCCTGGTGCTCTCCTCCTCCTCCTCCTCCTCCTCCTCCTCCTCCTCCTCCTCCTGGTGGTCCTCGTTCTCCTCCTCCTGGTGCTCTCCCCCCCCCTCCTCCTCCTCGTCCTCCTCCTCCTCCTCCTCCTCGTCCTCCTCCTCCTCTTCCTCCTCCTCTTCCTCCTCCTCCTCCTCCTCCTCCTGGTAGTCCTCCCCCTCCCCTCCTCCTCCTCCTCCTCCTCCTCCTCCTCTTCCTGGTCGTCCTCGTTCTCGTCCTCCTCGTCTTGCTCGTCCTTCTCCTCCTGGTGTTCCTCTCCTCCTCCTCCTCCTCCTCCTCCTCCTCCTCCTGGTGGTCCTCGTTCTCCTCCTCCTGGTACTCTCCCCCCCCCTCCTCCTCCTCCTCCTCGTCCTCGTCCTCCTCCTCCTCCTCCTCCTCTTCCTCCTCCTCCTCCTCCTCCTCCTCCTCCTCCTCCTCCTCCTGGTACTCCTCCCCCTCCCCTCCTCCTCCTCCTCCTCCTCCTCCTCTTCCTGGTCGTCCTCCTCCTCCTGGTCGTCCTCCTCCTCCTGCTCGTCCTCCTCCTCCTCCTGCTCGTCCTTCTTCTCCTGCTCCTCCTGCTCCTCGTCCTGCTCCTGCTCGTCCTCGTCCTCCTGGTCTTGCTCGTCCTCCTCCTCGTCGTGCTCTTGCCCCTGCTGAAAATGTGGCCCAGGAATGGGAGTTCTGGGAAGTCGAAGAGCACGAAGTTGCCTACAGTTGGCTACGGGCATTCAAAATGTGGCCCGGGAATGGAGTTCTGGGAACTCGAAGAGCACACGAAGTGGCCTACAGTTGGCTCCGGGCATCCAAAATGTGGCCCGGGAATGGAGTTCTGGGAACTCGAAGAGCACGAAGTGTGTGACTGTTGCATCCGGCCCTCCAGAATGTGGCCCGGGAATGGCGTTCTGGGATGTCGAAGAGCACGAAGTGTGTGACTGTTGCATCCGGTTATTCTAAATGTGGCCCGGGAATGGCGTTCTGGGATCTCGAAGAGCACGAAGTGTGTGACTGTTGCATCCGGGTATTCAGAATGTGGCCTGGGAATGGAGTTCTGGGAAGTCGAAGAGCACGAAGTGTGTGACTGTTGGTGAAAAACGAGCCCGGCACCCTGCCGCCCGGCAACTCCCCAACACCTGCCCGGACCCCCCTGTGGAGTGATCTGTGAGCTCTTTTGAGACCACTAGAAACCTATCAGTCTTCGCTGTTAGGTAACAAAGCAATCATGCAAGCATGAGTAACTATCGGCAAATCGCCCTCCGACGACTTCTTGACTCTTCTTAATGCCCTCCCAACCCCACCTTGGGATAACCCCAGGCCAGGCATGTCCCCCTGCAGGCGGACGTTGGAGGAACAATGAAACATATATCTGCTCTTGACTATCACAATGCAAGACTGAAGAACAAATCATCGACACATCGCCCCCAAATTCTGGAAGCCCGAAATGGGTACGGAAAGAATGGGCACGATGCCCAACAGCAGTTCCTGTTCATTTTGAACAGGACTCGCTGTCCGCGCCGCCGCGGCCTGTGTCCATTTGAGACAGAAGGCCGCCCGCCCAACAGCGGCCGCTGTTGGTTTGGGACAACATTTGTTGTTGTGGGCGCTGTACCCACTCTTTCCGTGCCCATTCCGGGCGTCCAAACAAATTACTCCTCGACTCTTCTCCTGTACCCCGAAGCCCCTGTACTCCTCCTTCTGCGAGCCCCCGAAGCCCCCCCCCCCTTCCCTCTTCTCCTTGACTCTTCTCCTGTACCCTCCCTCTGCGAGCCCCCGAAGCCCCCCCCCCCCCCGGCCCAGCAGAGCGACGCCACCTCCCGGCCGGCCGGCAGGCCGCCGCAGGGCCCCGCGCCGGGGGTGATTTCGGCGAGCCGTAGGTCGGGCCTGTCCCCCTGCAGGGGGGACCTGGGGCGAAACATAACACGTGCTTCAAAAAAATGCCCGCCACATGGGCAAAACTTATCAAATCATCGTCCCCCCACACGATGTTTTTCACAGTTTTGCATATTCCCCCTGTGGAGGGACAGGCCCGACTTAAGGCGAGTCCCCTTGACTACCTGCCAGACCACCCCAACCCAACCCGAAGACCCGAATTTCGGATTGGGGGGGTAAGGGTTCCACACGTGTTTTTGTCGACGTTTTCCGACCCCCCCACCACTGGAAATCGAGGGTAAATCTGAGCCTTCGGGTTGGGTTGGGGTGGTTTGGTGGGTGGTGACCCCTGGGGCCTTTCAGGAGGGAGGACAGCTCCTGGACGGTGTCGCCTGGCGCCCCGGGGCCGCGCCGCGGCAGCAGCGATCGGCGTGCAGCAAGAGGGGGTCCAGGCGAGAGGGCTCCCCAGTGAAAGGCAGGAGGGGGAGAAGGAGGAGGAGGAGGAGGAAGACGAGGAGGAGGAGGAGGAGGAGGAGGGAGGAGGAGGAGGAAGAGGAAGAGGAGGAGGGAGGAGGAGGAGGAGGGAGGAGGAGGAGGAGGAGGAGGAGGAGGAGGAGGAGGCGCCTAGACGTGAAGAGAGAGGAGGGTGGCAGGCCTACTCGGCAGGCACCCCGGCCACATCGCAGCAGCAGCTCGGCGTCAAGCCCGAGGGTTCGGGCGAGCGAAAGTGCGGTCAACCCGCAGAGTAAGGATGCACGATAAGGCTGCGAGGACCTTGGAAGGCCTTTTCGAAGCTCTTCCGACGGGGCGCGGCCAGCGGAAGTGGCCAAGGATGCATCGAGGAGGCAAAGATACAAGGGTACCCTTTGGGAAGGTCGCCCATCCTTTTGTGGATGCCACGACAGTGGACACCCTGACAGTCCCATCATTGAATTGAACAGGTGTTTTTGAAGGTAGGAAACATGTTCGAAACATGTTTCAAGCCTGTTTTTCTCACAGGCTCAAAACATGTTGGAACCATCTTTTAGCCATCTGGATCTCGTTTGGCAGCGTGCTGCCTCTCCACTGATCGCCCTCCACAGCCGTCCTCATGACGCGGGCTGGCCGTGGTGCGGGGCGCAGGACGACCCTGTGCAAGAGGAGGTCGGCGGCGAGCCCAGGGCTATGTTGTTCCCATCCCAATGCGGGATGGCCATTAATAAAAATGGGGGAGAACGATTTAAACATTAGTTTTCTGCTATTCCTGCATCATTTTCTGACTGGAGGAAAACGATTTCAAAATAATAATAGTTTTCCAACCCGCGGTCGGTTTTTCCTAATCGTCATCCCGGGCGCCGCCGCGTGGGCACGACCCCCGGTCATGTATTAATCGTCATCCTCCATCACTTAAAGACCATATCCCAGAAATAATTTCGAGCATCCGGAAAAGTGTCAAAAGAGTGTCGAGACAGTGTCGAGACAGTGTCGGGCGAGTGTCTCACAGGGCCCGACACGTGAAAACTCTTGCGATTCGGTGCTGCTTCTGGCGCCCGGAATTCTTTCCGGTGCTCAAGGCTAAAGCAGGTTGGAGCATCATAAGCCCAGGGTCGAAGAGAGAGAGAGGGGGGGGCTAGACCACCAAAAAGTAAAAAAATATTCACAAAATAGTCCCCAGACTAGTTTCGCACTATTGTTTTAAGATTTTTGGGTATTTTCTTTAATTTTTCATCGAAAACCCCTCTGTGTGGGGGACACGCCCGACACAAGGCGAGCCCAGGGCCGAAGACGAGAGAGGGGGGGGGGGGCTAGGCCTTCTTCGGCAGGCGGCGGGGGCCCCTCCCAGCGCAGCCCCCGGAGGGCCTCCGACAGGAGTGCCCTGCCGCCCTCGCGGGCGCGGGCGCAGGAACAGAGGCCTCCTTTTGATACCGTCGAGGCGTTGACCTAAGGAACCCTAAATGAGGAAGGAGGCCCCTTTTTTCCACAAGTTAACCTTCGATTTCCTGTCGAAAACATAATAAGGAACACCTGAGGCAAGCTGCGAAACACTTAAGGAACGCGGAGCCCCTCCCCAACGAAAAGGGTTCCTTCTTCAGGGCCCCGACTGTAGGGGTCCGAGCAGGTGCGGTCGCAGGACCTCGCGATGCATCGCCGAGGCACCGGCGCGATGCATCGGCGATGCGTCGGCGCTGCATCGCCGATGCACTGGCGAGGTCGGCGATGCATCGGGGACGTCGCCGCCCTCGCCGAGGCATCGGCGCGATGCATCGCCGATGACATCGGCGCTGCATCGGCCATGCACACTGGCGATGCATCGGCGGTGCATCGGGGACGTCGGTGTGGAGCAAGGTGGGCCCCACATCGAGCCGCATCGCCGATGCATCGCCGATGCGGCGCGATCCTCTGACCCCGTCTGCTCCGACTCCATCTAGGAGGCCTAGGAAGGAAACGTCCCAGAAGGCCCGATGCCCTCCGAGTCTTCTGAGAAGGCCCGCCCCCTCTGCATTCCCCACTGGGCTCGCCGCCGCGATGGTGAGCGAACAGCGTTGGGGGCCCAAAGAATATACACAACCACCACGTCGATTCCTCCTCTCTCGTCTGTCCAGCGAGAGGGAGGGGGGAGGGAGGTGGTGATGGTGTATATGCTTTGCCCCCCCAAGCGTGACAGCGACGACCGGCTGGCACGGGAAAGCCGCACGCGCTCAAGAAACGCTCGAAACACCGCAGTGCCATCTCCCGGGCCTCCTCTTCCAACTCACGGCCCCACCGAGCAATTCGCGAATCTGATCCGCTTGTCCTCCTCCTCCTCCTCCTCCTCCTCCTCCTCCTC